CGTGTTTGTTTCGTAATGTCGCGATTCTTTGAAAATAACCCAACAGATAAATAAATTGTTGTTTTGGAGATCAAATTTTTGATAGTTAGATTACAGGTGTATCGACTTTAATTTTTTAATTTTTTTCTTCTTCTAATATGTATTAATTTCGAAAACTCTAAGAGAGCCTGAATAAAAACTAGATGTTTGCTGAAAACATATTCTTAATATAGACAGATATATATTTAGCAAAAAGCACATTTTTTGAATATGTTTCAAAATTAATTTTTTTTTTTTTTCGTATGGGGAGACGTTCAATACCTTAATTTTTTTCCTTAGCTTTCACGAGTTCCTAGAAAATACAGATTAGTTTTTTCTGTTGCAGCTGTAGATGATTACTTCGTGTTATTTTTAAAAACTTTGTCATAATTTTTAACATACTTAATAAATAAATAAAAAAATAAACTTCATATATTTGTGATACATGTTTAAAGAATAATTGTTATATTTTTATCGTGTGAACTTTCCTGACAAAGATTTCTTGCTCCGTTATACCCACATTTGAAACAGGTGCAAATAGTGAAACTCGTCGCGGCTGATTTGCGCAGAATTGTGCTAAAAAAATAAGTATGTCAGGTTTTGTCAAATGACGTTTAACCTTCTGCCTGAACAATGTGAATAATCTAGAATAAACTTACTCAGCTCTCTACTTTTTAGTGATTTTCAAAAAATTAAAACTTTTTCAGAAATTTTCTTGCAGAGTTTATATCATTTTTTCTGGAAAAAATTGATCATTTAATGAAAATCACCTTGATTATGATTAAACTAATATTAAACTTAAGTAGTACATAATAACAAAATGTTCACATAATGTTGTACCTATCAGAAAGTTAATCGACATTTATTTATTGTGAACTCTAAGTTCATTGACATATTTTAATAAATCGTATTAATTTATTACGTTTATGAATTTAAAGTCTAATACTTGAGATATTTTATCATTTTTATAATAATGTAAAGTTTCCATAGTTAATGTAATTAATTTGATTTTGATTAGAATTATTCTCATGGAAGAAAATGAAATTAGAAAAAAATAAGTATAATCAGACTTCACTGGATGAATTACAAGTGACGTTTCTCTCTTTGTGACATAACGTAGAGAACATTGAATTTTATGTACACTCAGAAGTATCATTATAGTTTAAAAATAAAAGAATTATTCTGACCTTTGCTTTGAGAAAATAGGAGAAAAATTAGTACCATAATTTTTTTATTTATGATAGATAAATTCGTAACTTCTTAGGTAACAAAGATATATTTTTATATAAAATCATCAAAGCAGTAATTTTTCATATTTCTTTAATTTAAATTTCTAATCGTGCTCTCTAAAAATAAAATAATGAAAATCACTACAAAATAAAAGATTTTCGGATTTGCACTTCTAAGTATGCCACTGTTAAAATTAATAATATGTCTTTAACTGCTAATCAATTTATATCTATTACTTCTTAATGATTTTCACTGTTTTCTTCTGAGATAGTATTTAGAGATGTAAGTTTATATTCCTGGTAGAAGCGAAGATAACGTCATTCCTTAGGTAAGATTAGGTCAATCTTCTTTTCTACCAGAGAATATTCTAAAGGTGATTTATACTAAAGAATGTAATACAAAAAAATTTTTAAGTTTAATTGTGCAAAAAGTAGATATGCAGATTGTAGAATATTTTTTAGACTTATAAATGAATTCAAGAATAAATTAATGACAGCATTCAAAATATAAATTGTCTTCACAAAAATAATATTTAAATTTGAAAATGTAAAATATAAATTACGTTCTTGATTAAAGTCAATGATCTAATAAATGTCTACACGATGGTCATAAAACTTTTAACTGAAATTGCAAGTTCAAAAACGTATGTAAATGGATCAATCATAAGCTGGGTAATTTTTTAGGGCAAGTAAGCGAACTTGATTTGAGTTTTTTGTATGCCCCAGACATTTCGTAGTGGTATACTTTAGTCCTGTCAGCGGGAATCCAAGTTTATGGCCTCTTTTCTTAGCAAGTCTCGTCTCTCTTTTCTCTTCTCGTGACCAATCACCGAATCAAGAAGCTACGAAAGCAAGAGAGAGAGAGAGAGAGAGAATTAGCGCGAGGGCACGTCCGCTTCGGGTAATTAAGCCGCCACGGTAAAGGATGAATTATTGCCAGGTTGCCGATAAAATTGCTAAAAGGAAAGAAGGGAGAAATAAAGATTCAAAGAAGGGGGTACGTGCGGAGATGATGAGAAACAGAGAGAAGAGTCGAGTAGTGCATTTGAATGAGCGCCTTCAAGATGAGAGAAAAGGGAAGAGATCGATCTGAATTGCTCGAGCACGTTTTAACGGGGATTCAAGATAATTATTGCTGAGTATCCTGCAATTTCAACTTGAATCGGTGCTCGTTCGTTTATTCCTGATGGATTCTCGATGAGGACAACGATCTACCGCCACCGCGGAAGTCTATCTTTCTTTCCGAGTACGACTACTCGAGAAGCTTTCCTACTTTTTCCTACAATACATCCACTCTGTGATATTTCAGAAATGCAATCCCTATTATCATAAAATGTTCATTTTATTTTTAAAATATTAATATTGCAAAACTATTACATAATAATATCATTTTTTATATTTATACAGTAGTAAAAATGGTTGAAAGTTAATTACAAAAATTAATTTAGTTGGCTTGATGTATGAAAAAAAATGGAATAAAAATATTCTATGAATACTAATTTTTATTCATTTGAGCAGAAAAATTCATTAAAAATGAAATCATAAAAGAGATTTATATTTCTAGAACAGTCATTTTTACTTTTTATTTCACTCTGTATAAACATTCAGTTTCTGAAAATGACCAAATTTCAAAAGCAGTCAGTAATTATTCACATAACACTTTCGAAATGAGTGTAATGATTACATTTGCACTTTCTTCAATTGAATCAGTGAATATTTATTGATTTTATTTCAAAGACTGCAAAATAACTAAACATTGATTAGATACAATTGAATAGAAATCACTGTACTCTCTCAAAATGAATTAGTTTTTCATTGATTGTCACTGATATAGTTTTAGAATATTTTGAAGTAAAGTAACGTAAAGTTTAAAGTTGTTCTTTTAATTGTATGAAGATTCCAATGAAAACTAATTAAGTTTTTATCTTTTATATAATTACAAGTTCATATAAGTTATTTTAAAGATAAGAGGAAGTTAGAAACGATATTAATTTGAAAAATGACTGTAGGTATATTGAGTAGAGAAAATAATTATACCCACACTGATTCTGTTTTCAATTATGGATTACCAGGACTATTTGACTCTTCGATATTAACTGTTAAATCCCTTTTAATTAACATCCACTACTATCCTAGCCAATGACTACGAATGTCCTGAAGAACCTTATGTGGGCGGAAACTAAGAATTGCGGATTATATTTTACAACGTTGTAGGAATCATATGTCTTATTGTTCTAGGGAATCAAAAATATTCATCGTCTGTGAAATAACACTTGATGACTTTCGATTCTCTATTGTTCTCTTCATTTTCAGTAGGCTTGGAATTTTATTTTTCTTCGATTTTGTTTGAGAAAAGTAAGAAAAAACGATAGTATTATTAATTTTATCAACTATAATAAATTACCTAACCAACGAGGTATGTTCTTTTTTAACTCTTAAATAGTTTAGGATTTATTAATTCAGAACATATTTATTTTAATTGTAATTCTGTTGCTGTTTTTCACTATAAATAATGAGAAAATATTGTAGACAATATATCAAACTTTTGCTAGTCGTAATTGAACGAGTGGCATAATAACGTGGTAGTAATAATACTTGTGAGTGTTCAGTTGAAGTTTTGAGTTCTTTGAAACTCTTAAAAGTTGCACATAACTCGCAACTGTTTCTGCTTTAATATACCCATGGGCTATAAAGTTTAGGGATTCTTCACTAGGGAAATCTTCTTTACAGAAAGACGAAGAAAATAAATATTCTTAATGTTCTCATTTCTTATACAATACATTACTCAACAATTCACTACGGTTGCAAAGCGAGTAAAGAGAGTCTCAAGTATAGTTTTTGTTTGAATTAATATTTGCTTAATGCCATTCAGTTTTTGTCAAGTCAATGCAAATTAGTCATTGAAAAGGCAGTTTGAGTGTGACTGAAAAATTATTGTATCTAACTAAAATATTTAATTTATTCACTCAGTTATGATCGTAGTTCATCATTTTAATATTAATTTAAAAAATTTTATAGAGCTCTTTGAAAATAAAGAAATGTGAAATCACTGAGTAATACTAAATATTCGATATTTTATCGTTAAAAAGTACGATACGAACCCATTCTTTATCGTTAAAGATATTTATTTTGCTCTTTTTACAGTATCTACTGATCATAAATAAAAAACTGCATCCTGATTTAAACTTTGTTTTAAATAAATGAATAAAAATTAATTTCTAGACACTTGACACAATACTAACTCCAAAAGAAATAATTCACTTTATTTTAGTAATGTTGCTGTCATGTTTAAAAATTGTAATATTGATAGAAAAGAATGGCTTAATTACTTATTTGTCACATTGCCACTAGTTTGAAAAAAAAATCATTTTTTGTATTCGTTTATAATGAGCCATGTTAATACGCTTTGACAGTATTTATCGTTTTTAGTGAACAAAACATTTATTTTCACCAGAACTCAACAGTGAATTTAGTCGACAGCTCGTTAATTTTATTGGTTCTAGCAATGTATTCCGCGTGTCAGTCACGAGTGAGAGAAAGTTTCTACCAGAATATAACGAGGAAGAAGCGCTAGCTAAAGATCTAAAGGGGTTTACCGATACCAATCTTCCATGGAGATTCCTTTAATCGAATTACTAGTTGCTTTAGAAAGTTTGTTATAACGGATTGAGCATAGTTTTTTTCCATTTCCAAGAGTAAAATCGTCATAATAATATAAAGACAATATAAAGATGAAAAAGAGTATATTCTTACCTGTATGAGGTGGGCAAAAAACAGGACGTAAGCAGCGGCAGCCCTCATGGCTTCCCTCGTGAATCCCCCAACTACCGCATCACCACACTCGTCTTACCTCCTCACAGGCTATTTTTTCAGCCAACTTGTCACACTAAATAATTATTAAAATCGCTGTATCTCCTTGATATTCCACGATAAATCTCTTGGTTATTGGTAATTAAAGATATCCTTTTATTTTATCGTGCACTCTTTCACAGTATGACGAAACTGTACGGTAAATACCGATCACCATCCACTTTCTTGATTTATTTCCTCGTTACACACACTATCAAATCCACATTCAATAATCACAAGACTGATTCATTGAATTTTCATTCAATATAAATCACTAAAAATTATTAATTCCACTAGTTCTCACTTGATGATGCTTCCGATGTATTAACGAAATACTCAAATATATAAACACTGGAGTATAAATGCAAACACCATATAAATCCTTGTTCTTTTAAATCGTCACTATAGTTATATTTATAACCTTTAATAATAGCACAAGGTTTTATGATATTTATCCTGCGACAGGTGGTAGTCACACGCTCTTTTATTTAACTCCGTTACTTTCGTGTAATTCGTCTGGACTACTTGCACACACCTTTAATCATTTAATTGCACTGTTGTTCCTTATTTTCGCACTTAAGCCAACAGTTTTGTCCTCCTGGTTCAGCTGAAAAACACGTTTAATTATCCCTTGAGACAAGTGCGACACTTTTTCACTACACAATAAAACGGCCAAAAGATGGACGAGAAATTCTTCCAGAGTGGTATAATTGATGAACGTTTAAGGATACTCTCCTTTCAACTTTAGAAGTAAAAAAATAAGTAACAAGCAATTAAACTAAATAATCCGCACGTGACATATTCACGTGCGAATTTTTTGGAAACACTTGTTTTTTGAAACAACACACAATTATTTTATTCATTAGACGATGTAATTGATGGATGAAATGATAAATAATCAAGTTGGATAATTCGTAGAATCTGTCGTGATCTACTCGAGGCCGGTCGAGGCGCGGCCAAGATGCCGGTAGGGCGATGCATCCAACGCGACGTGAGCATGTGCATGGAAAATCGCAGGCTCCCACGACCTGATGTGTTGCTTATACTTTTCTCGTATTACCGCACATTGGCAGTACGCCTCGAGGGTTTGACGAAGAGAGAGTGACTCAGATTAACCTATAATCGACGATAGTTTCTGATGTAGTCTTCAATGATTCGTTAAAGCAAAAAAAAAAAACCAAAATAATTTGACAAATTTCCTTTCTTTTTTGTTCATCTATTCGTTTTGATAATTTTTTTACTTGTTGATGTAACACATGTATACACACAAAGATAAGGTTGTCGACCGGATAATTGTAAAAGATCTTGAAGAAGCACACCTGGATCTTCTTCCCTTTGCGTTATCTCTTCTTCTCTTTCATTCGTCCAAGGCGTCCTTGCCTCGGGGACTATGGCAAAGGATCGCCCGATTCTCGACCCTTCTTCTTCGTCTTGTCTTATTTTCCCTCACTACTGTACCGGCTTGATAGCTATTCTCACAATTCACTAGTGATCATCCTTAATAATAATCTTACATCAAATTCAAATTTGTCTCATTTTTCACCACAAAATCACTAGAAAAACAGACATAAATCCAAGCACCCCGAAGAGTTAGAGGATCCTAATTGGTCCTAGGGTATCCAAGAATGAATGAATACGCGCGCGAAAACCTTTGAAAGCCAAACAAGCGCAACACTTGAATAAGGTACACGTGAGTCGGTTGCTCCGGGGATACTGAGCCAGAGCCGCGGGCCGGCCTCCAGGCCTCCCTTCCATTCTCGTGCCCTGCTCCGCGAGCTCCCCTCCGTACCCTCGTCATCAACGGAGCAAGTGAGAGGGATTAGTCTTTGATGCCATGAGAAAGTGAGATGATAGGATGAGAGAAAGAAAAACCCTATGGTCCTCAGCTACCCTGCTTCTCATAGTGCTCCCCTCTCTCCTCTCTTCTTACCCCAGGGGATCTTGCAGTGATGCCCTGTCCTTCCCTTACTTCTACATAGGTAGCTCTTTGCAACTACCAACTCGTGTACACCCGGTTTCGCTTATGTGACGCTTCTTGTATAAGTTCGTATGGGTGTCTCTCCTTTTGCCTCTCTCTGCTTCTTTTCAACCAGCTCATCGGAGCAGGGCCCCTTTCGTTACACCTATGTCGACTATCCTACGCCTTTCTATACGTTACACCGTGTATACTTGCCTTGGTATGGATACTGGTATCTCACGAGATTGAACACTGGTAAAAATGTTGTCAATATATGTTCCAGGTACTTGGAAAAATATATTCTAGATACTCGATGTTATTTAGAAATTAACGAAAATTGTTTAATTGATTTTTACCACATTTATTTAGGTGATATATTGGATTTATGATCATACACTTCACGTGTTAGTTTTACTTTCTATTGTATTTAAGAGACAGTTTAAGTCGGTCTGCGGTATTCTATTTTAAATTAGTATATATTATGAGGAGAAGAATAAATATCTCATCAGTAGAGAACAGATTCGTGTAGTGCTAAAACACTAGTCCTTTTAGAGTGAAAAACATAATGGATAGATTTTACAAAGAGAATTTTTGCAATAAACGTAAGTAAATAAAATGACGAATGTTTTTTTAAATAATAGAAGTACCAATATTTTTGTTCAATAGTAAATTCTGGGTTGTCGTGAGTAGTTATTTTACAACGACACCTCGTAAGTATCAAGTTTACTTACAAGGACTCAAAATTTACTGTTAAACCAAAATATTTATATTTCTACAATTAAATGAATAAATTAGAATTGTTGAAAGAAGAAAAACATCGAAAATTTATAAATGTTGTGATTAGATCGTGATCAAGGCAATTTGTGCAACTTCTTTTTAAATTGCACACAATTATCTGTAGTTTATTAATTATTGATTATAATTTTAAAAATATGCAGGTAATTCTCGTCAGATAAATTATCCTTGTAACTAATATAAAAAGTATATAGTATTTTTTATTTTATTTCTTTATGTCTTCTTTTATCAATCTCGTGTATTTTTTATTGATTTTTTTATCTATTGATTGATTATAGTAATAATATATAAATAAGTAATAATCATGCACCAATAAATATATGTATTTTATTCTATTTAATGAATTTAATTGAAAGCCGTCAAGTATTTAATTGTTCTACCAGGAAATCTTTCATGGTTGAGAGATTCTTGATATCGTACAAGCTTCTTGTCAATGTCAGTTGGTGTTCATCGCTATTGCATTGATGATTCGAATCTTCAGTGTATTCTTTTATTTTTAAATGGCGAAAATAAAAAAGAAAATTTGTTGAATATTTGACCATGAAATTCGTCAACAGATCACTTATATACGCTATTTAAAATTATACGATGCATTTGAAAAAGGTGGAGAACAATTTGGACCTTAAATACAAAAGTAGAGAAAAGAAAGAAAAATGATGAATAATGGATGGAGATCCTGTCGCGTGTCTTTTGTAATTATAATATTGAATTCGATAGAGATTGAGGGCTGTTTAGCTTAGAATCATCGTTGTAATTACAAAATCAAGCAACGATATTTTTGTCTACTGGAACATAAAAATATCATTGTCAATACATAATAATATTTAATCATATTTTTGCAATAATTTTGAATAATTAAGTTTAATAAATCAGACGGAGGCAATTTTTAAACATAATATTCTAATTTTGCTAATTTTTTATACATGATGTTTGATTTTTACGTATGATGTTTTAATAAAAAGAAATTTCAAATAATTTTCATAAGGGCTCAAAACAATCAATCACTTTCAATCGAATATATTTATTCCATATATAATTTTATTTTAATATTTATTTTAATTTTAAAGCTACCATTTTATTGTCTGAAGTAATCACAACGATAAATTATTGTCAGTAGTACACTATGAGTTGTGAGATTGTAAAAAATTATAATTGAAAATAAAAACTGGAGAATGAAATTTGATACTAATGACTACTTTTTTACTGACAAAATACAGACTGGTTATGTATTAACGTAAGTTCGTAAATATTTTATGTGTCGCTAAATTGTCATTTATATTTGAAAAAGAAAATTATAATTCTTTGTAATCTATTATTTGTAATCAAAATTAAACTTTCTTTGGTTTTGTTTTCAAACCAAATTTATTGTAAAAAAAAAGTTGTATTGATTTTTTGATTTCCATTAGTATACCTAATAATAAATATTAAGGCCTTAACAATGAAATGTGATATATTCGCGAAAAAAAAATAAAAAATTTCTAATAGAAGTAATTCGAGGCAATTTTGATGATTGATCAAACTAATTAATAAAGAATAGAATAGAACAAAGCAATTCCTCGATCAGACTGACGCGCAAATTGCGCTGCAATCTACTCCATTTCACGAGAGAGATACCCCGGCTATCTATTGCACGGTGGTGGCTGCACTCAAAGAACCTCACTGACGGACAGCCAGTAGTAGTGGGATACTGGCCTGCTCTTTTTCTTTGAGACATCTTTCCTTGTCTGACATATACGGAGTCTCCCCACTTGGAAATCGCGGATCTGTCTCTGTTGCTGCTTTGTGGCCCGAGGGTCCGGCTACTCTCTGGGGCCCAGCAAGCATGATGATGGTGGCTACTCGCGGCGACTTGGTCTCAGCAGCTCAGCAGCAGTCCGCAAGAGTCGAGAGAGGCCTCGGGGGTCAAGGAACTCCCTCGGGAACAGGTTCACCTCTGCTCCCCTCCTCGCCATCCCTTACTCCCTCTTTTTCTTGGTTGCCCTATACCCCCTCCGGCTAGTGTATACCTTAGGGCTTTACTTATTTTCTCTTATTACTGCCGGGCATGCACTGTGGTACCAATAACACACGCGGTCGCGGTAAGAGAGTAAACCAGCAAGTTGGCAACGTTGGAGGAGGATCATGGGGGTTTGTGTGAGTGTGTGCCGATCCTCTTTGGTCCAGCTCGTGGCTCTCTACTTCATGAGCCCTGTGGGTTATGCGCCGATACGCAAACGCATTATTACGGCACTTGAGGGGCTCAGGAGAACGAGAGGAAAAGAGTGGACCCACACGCCGTAAGCTGAGGAAAACGCGTGTACACACTGAGGGTGTTTAGGTGTGTCTCGAGAATTCATTCTTTTTTCTCTGTCATTGTTACGCTCACCAACTCCTGATGAAACATTCCACCTGTGCTAACTATAAATGCGACGATACTATGTTTTATCTACAATAAAAGCCCTGTTATATCTGCACTTCTAAGCAATTACACATTTTGTTTTTACGTTTTCATTTATTCACTGGATTTTTAAATACCTTGTAGATTTCTCAAAAATATTTCAGTTTTTTTTTCATTTTAAGACATTAATCAGCTCAAGTTGTTTTACAATAACACTTCACAACCAATTCTTTCAAGTAATTATGGATAATTTTGCTTTCATATTAAGAATTGACTCCATTAACTTTAAAATAAAAATCTTATACTTTGAAAATTTCATCTAAAAAATTTTGATTAAATATTCAACAATATTTCAGGAATTATAGATCAATATTTTATTAAAAACTTTTGAAATAAAAATTTAAAAAATACCACCTTAATTATTACTAAAATATAAAGGTTTTAAAGTTGAAAAGTAACTGCTACATATTCAACCATATGGAAAGAGAAATTTTGGTAAAACAATTATTTTATAGTTATCTTGGAGAAATGAAAAAGTTAATATTCAATTTTTCACAATGGTTTTTGCTAATTCATTCTTAGAGAGTGTAGAGAAAGTTTATACCATATTTCTGAATAATAAAAAATTATTCAGCTAATAACAATTTTTTTATTTCAATGACAGACTAATTGTGTACATAACATTGATTTTTTTTTATTCGTGAATAATAAATTGATTCGACTGAATTAATATTGGAATTTGAATCCAGATTATCGTTGTATAATAATTTACGACGATCGAAATTAACATTAATTTATTGTCAAAAAGGTGGTAAAAAATTATGAGAAAAATAATTGAAAGTAATTAGTAAATATTATTACCCTTCACTGAAAGTATCAGTTTTCAACACAAAATTAATTATTATGAAACTCTAAATGTAAAATTGCACAAATCATCCATCATCACGAATCTTTAAAAGAGGTCTGACCGTTATTAGTTTGATTCTTTTTATTTCACAGTTTCAATAGGTATTATATTGAATAACTTTTCATCTACACAAATAAATATATATTTAGTTTATTTAATCATGCCTATAGTTATAACTTGTTTAATTTCCGGACGAATTAAAAAAAAACTTTTTTTTTGTATTGCTTCAATACATTCTTTTTGGGGTCGGCAAATCGGTGAAGGAGATCAGAACCAAGCTCAGTCAGACAAGAAGATACGTTACATGTATAGCGGTTAAGTAAAGATTACGCGGTTTCGACAGCAAAATTTTCTTCCCTTAAAAGATTAATTTAAGATAAAGAGCTAAAACAGCTTTGTTTTGTAGCTTTTCTTCCAAAAAATTATGTATAAATAATATATTTATGTATCGATATTGTAATACGTTTGTTATTATTTAACCAACAAAGCTTAATGGGTTTACTAAAAGTAAAGGTTGAATGTAAGATTGAAATTTAAATTATTTGAGTCTGTAAAATTAATATTTAACAAGAAAGGAAAACATTAACTTAATAAGATTTTTAACTTCTAACGAATGGTGGTACATACAGAAAAAAAACCTAAGGAATCTCATTAACT